AGTTATTTGATAAAGATTTTATTATTGATGATTAATTAACTACTTGTTTGTTAGTTGTTAATAATAAAAAAAAAAAAATAAAAATAAAAAAAAAAAAAAAATTTTTTTTGAACAAGCAATGTAATTGAAAAAAATGAATATATTTATAAAGTTCTTTATTTTATTTATTATTAAGTGATTTTATTATATCTTCAATGGATGAAGCATTATCTGTTACAACATATGAAGAAATGGCGTCTTCAGTGAATGAAGCTTTATCTGTTTCAGTGTATGAAGAAATCAGCTAAGTTCAGAAATACTTAATGAAGAATGGGCGTACAATTATGGCCTTTGAATATAATGAGCGTCGGGCAGTTTATGAGTACCTTGTATTGTTAGAAGATGGATATGGAAAGGAAAAAGCATGTTAGGAGACTGCATACAAGACCTATATTACACCAAAACCTTATACTGCTAGAAGGCTTCGTTCTCTAGCAAAATATTATTTGTGTTATAGAACCTTTTAATTTTCATGCTATAGCAAATATCAAAAACACAAACGACTTGTTGATGATGAAGATATTGCAATACAATGTAAACATTGGATATGACAAAATTCTAGGGTAAATAGAATCGATTCATCTGAGTTTTGAGAATATGTCAACAATGATATTCTTCTAAGACATACTGGAGAAACAAAAAAAACAATCTGCCTACGAATAGCTGAAAGGTGGTTAAATATCCTAGGGCTCTAATTCAGGTTATATCAAAAAGGCATGTATCACAATAGACATGAATAAGATGATGTGGTTACGTATCAAAAAAAGTTCTTAGAGGAAATGAAAGGCTTAGAAAGTCGAATGGTGAGGTATGAATTTAAATAATATGGATCTTTGCTAACAAAATGATCCTTCAGGACTATATTCCGAAGGGTCATTTTGTTAGCAAAAATCTCATATGTATGTTTTAAGTAAATTTAAAGATTGATCTAAAAAAAAGCTTTTTATCATATCAGATATGAAGGTGAAATAATAGAAAAAATTCTACTGGTACTCAAAGCAAATAAACGAGAACTAATCCTTGTAATGTATGATAAATGTGTTTTTTATTCAAATGATGGTAAAAGAGGCATTTGGATGCCAGACAGGAATATGCTATTGCGAAAAAAAGGGAATAAAAAATCTATTATGGTGAATAAATTTCTTTTAGAAGAGTGTGGTCAGTTGAAACTAAGTGAAGAGGAGATAAGGATACACCTGAATGTTTCTACAAAGGTGCGCTGCTATTTATTGCCCAGTAAAAACTAAGAAGGTTTTTAGACAATTGATAATTTACTAGAGCAAGTTAGAGATAAAGCAATCCCTATCTTTGAAGCCAAATTTCCGAATGCAATAGCTGTCTTTGCTTTCAACAATAGTACAAACTATACAGTATACGCAGAAGATGCTCTTATCGCCGTGAGAATAAATCTAAAAGCCAGGGAGAACCAACTAATATTATGATCAACAACTTTTGTTGGGGCTAAAGGATAGAGAAAACTCAACATATGATATTCAACAAAGATTATGTATTTACAGATGATGACGATTATGATAAAACTATGCGAGGAAAGCCAAAAGGTATTAAGGTAGTATTAAAAGAAAGAGGGCTTTGGAAAGATGGGTTGCTTTTAGAATATAAGGTATATAAGGGTAAGGAATTTTTAGGTAATTCGCGAATAAACTGTTGTACAAGAAAAATCATAGCTTCTCAACCTGATTTTATTACACAAAAGTCAACTGTTGTAGAATTAATAGAAGGTGCTAGTCATCTTTGTATTTTCTATCCGAAGTTTCATTGCGAACTTAATTTCATTGAAATATATTAGAAGGCCGCTAAGGACTATGTGAGAAAGCATTATGATTACACTTGAACTGGTTTGCAATAAACGGTTCTACAAGCACTTGATTCAGTTGATATCATTATGATTAGAAAATTTGCACAAAAATCATGAAAATATATGGAATTATATCGTGAGGGATTGACTAGAAAGTTGGTAGAATACGCTTGCAAAAAATTTAAGTTACATAGATGCATACCAAAAAATGAGCTGGCTCTGTTTATATATGAAAATAGTGAAAAGCATATGAAAGGTGATGAAGGTCATAATTGTAAAAAATGAAAATATTGTTGCTGTAGAAGAAATAAAATATATAATTATTCAATTAATACATATTAATGAATTTTTTTTTTAGTTTATTTTGA